CCAGACCCATAAATAGGAAATAGAACTGAAATTGTGCTGTGCAGGAAATGATAGACAAGGCCAACTTTTTCTTACAGTGATTTCAAATGAAGGAAAACTGGACTAAAAGGAATGAAAGGATTGTTAGGAGACATGAAAAATACCTCAAATGAATAGAAACAGATAACGACTAGCAACTCAAAGTTAGGAGAAATGGAGTTGTGCATGATTCTCTGAAGCTGGCAAATGGCTTGCCTGTTAATCACTATGGGACTAATTATAGCCAACATACTTAGAGATTCACAGTGCAGTGATTGTAAATAAGTAATTATCCCTGTACCTGTATACCAGTTCGTGAATCATGACTGCCCATCACATTACAGCAATTGATGTGTTACAGGGTTACTGTGAAGGAAATCACAGAAGCCCAGTACAGATGGCAGTCAAATCATAACTAGGTTGGAAATGTAAATTAATAACAGTAATTTGTTGAGACTAAAAACACTGTACAATCAAAGGGTTGTTATAATCTAAACTGTTTTTCTTGCCCTTTTCACACTGCCTTCTTTATTACCTCCCAAAATGCTTTCTCCCGCTGCCACTTCCTCATTTCCACGCTAGCTCCTTACTTTTAAAACACCTCAAACCAGTATCATCTTTTTGGCAGTATTTCTGATACAAAATAAAGTTTTAATGCTTTACTTTGCAGCCTGTTGCATGCCAAACAGAAGGTGGCATTGGCAATCATCTGAGGAGTCCAGCCTTGAAGTCATGCCCAGCGAGGCTTGTACGGCAGCAGCAAAGCACCACCCAATTCCTCACTAGGACAAACTTATACAGGCTGTACTTTTGCTATTGTTTATAACAATGGGACTTCCTCAGCATCCCTGGGGAAACAGCAGCAAACGCATAAAGTAGCCATTCACTCCTGCTCCTCCTGGGCCACAGATGATGCACTCTTAAGGACAGAACTACAGACCAATCTGTTAAAATTTAAGAACACTACAGAGATTGGAAGGGAAAAACAACAGGCACTGCTTTTTCCTCTAACCTCCAGAAGCAATTATGAATACTGGACCTATACTGTTCCTGCTGTGCAGTGCTTCCTGAAGAAACAACACACTGCACCATTTGTCGGCAAGTTTACTTGACCAAATGAATGAGCAGGCTGGAAATGGCAGCAAGCCCTCCTCCAACAGCAAAAAGCTGCTGCAGTGCTGCCTTAAAATGGAAATGAAATCCTAACAGGAACAGCCTCAACTCTGTGCCAAACAGTGGTAGAATAGTGTGCAACTGAGGATGAAGGAGTAATTTCCAGAAACAAATTGGGGTAAGCAGAGAGAAAGCAGGGAGGAGAATGAAAGAGAACTCCCCTAGCAAGGAAAAGGCTGTGATTCAATTTCCTTCAACTGCTGACTGACAGTAAGAACAAGAGGAGAAAGACAGGGACAGACATGTCTTCTACCCTACCTTTATGTCATCGACGTTGTAACTTTGTGGGCATAACTTTTAAAAAGAAATACTGGGTAGAAGAAGAAGCAGGTATCAGGTTTTCTAGGCTAAAATCTATCAGATTTTAGTTTGATTTGGAGCATCTGTAGCTTTGGCAAGCCAACAATATAAGTAATCTTAATTGTGCCAACATTTTGTGTTCGCTCCTAGCTTCTTGACACCAACAACCCAGGAGCAGTATTTCCAAAGCTCATCTGACATCATTTGTAAAACAAATATGCAGGAAGGAAAACAAAGACTGACAGGTTTGGCCCGGCACAACATCGGACAGTAAAAGTTTGCCGAGTGCAACGGAAATGCACAGGTGAAGACATGCTCTTTTACCAAATTTTTAAGAGGCTAGTGGGACAGCATAGATGAGAGCTACTGCAGTATGGCAGTTAAGAAAAAAGCCAATCTAGGTTCGTTAAAAATGTTAACAATTCATGGCCCAGATCCACAATCCACATTCGTGTTTACCATCCTACTCAAATCACTAGGGTGCAACTTAAAACAAATACAGGCGACAGATTCAGTTTGAGTAATGTTCTTGAGTCTCTTCTTCCCCCTTCTAAAAAACAAAGCACCCAGAAAGGCCTTGATCATAGTTAACTATGTACTGAAATAATTACGGAGCTAGCTTTAAAATAATGAACAATGATTTTATAGAATAACCAAAGTTACTAGTACAGCAACACAAAAACACAAGCTGTTCTACTAACAACCAGTCCCATTCTAAGATTTTTACAGTCCCCCCACAGGGAAGATGTCAATCAATATTGATCTGGCTTCAAATCAGCTTTAGAGTTAACATCACCAGAATTTAATATTGTTGCTCTTTCTAATGTCTGATAATAAAATGGTTTGGGGATAACACATCTGTTGAGTAACTATCTGCTAACCTGTCAGATGAATGGCCAAAAATCACTCCCTTTGCCCGAAACCCAATGTTAGTTTTAGACTTTTGAAGGTGAACGCAGAAAAGGAGTGGGTGTTTAATTTCAGTCAGTCCTAAAAAGCAAAGAAGAAAGTACTTTCTTTGGTCATTTATCTGTTGACTAGCCTGCTCCATTTATAAAATCTCTGCTATGAGATTCCCCACACAATTAAAGGGCACTTTTCCTGTGACCACAGGCACACAGGAATGTGACACATATCTTTCAAATGAAAGCTTCAGCAGTTATTCTAACTGTCTTCCTCCCCTCTTTTGACAACTCATGGGAGTCAGATTTCACAAAAAAAAAAAAAGGAGCAGCAGCTTCCCAGTGGGTTTTATCTGCAAATTAGGTTTTTACCAGTTTCCTTAAGGGGATATATCAAATATAGTTCATTTTACATCGTCTCCAGCAAACATATTATGGGGATGAAAATAAGAAAATTATCACTTAAACACAAATTCTCTTAGCTTTAACTTCTTTAAGAAATACTGAAACAGAAAAACTCCATAGGAACGCGGAAGACATGTAGGGAACATATCTATGATTTCCAAGTTATCTTAATTTTTCCACATGCATGAGCAATTTCATTTTTATTAAGGCCAGGGATTTTTTTCTGTAAAAGAGCCTGACCCTCATGTTATCATGTAAAACATGGCAACATGACATTCTTCATTGTTTCAATTATGAGCTCAAATTTTTTGGAGTGTCCAAACAATCCTAGTTTTACTTTCATTAAAAAAATAATCCAACCACCAAGCCAGGAAACATGAAATTAATTGTTAGTCTACCCTTAACTGGTTTAGTGGTGGACTTGGTAGTGTTAGGTTAATGGTTGGACTAGATGATCTTAAAGGTCTTTTCCAACCTAAATGATTCTACGATTCTATGAATCACTAAGAAATTCAAGAAGCGTCATGATGACATGATTGTCTTTCTTATCATTTTTTTTTTTTGATTTATTACTTCACACGTGGAATGTGCACTCGCAATGATAGCAGTGTGGTCTCAGCAGCAAAAAAGGGCTATTTAAAGCAGGGTGGCTGTAGAGACATTCCTGTCATATCTGCCAGAGTTTCCACAACTTTTTAGAAGCATTTCCCAACAGATTAGTACATGGCTATTATTTACCTCATTTATGAAAATTACAGAACGAACATCGGTAAGTCGGTATTTGAGGAACTGATTATAAAAATGCATCACTACTGCCATCTAAATCAGGAACTGGTTATAAAAATGAATTACTACTGCCATCTAAATCATGACGGTGAGCTTCCTCACGATAGGCAGCACCTGAGTAGGCAAGTTCTCGGTTGTAAACCCTAAGGCGCATTTCAAGGGGGGGTAGGGGGGAAGTCGCCACCACAAGCACACCTTCCTCGCAGGTTTCCAGAGGAAAAGGCAGGGACTAGCGCTAACGAAAGCCGTGCGGGACACCCCAAAAGCTCTTCATTTCCCAGCGCCGACTACGAACGCGCGGAAAGATGTTCTGGCACGCCGCGCGCTTCACCTGAAAACGCCGATAATAAGCGAGAAAACGCCGATAATAAGCGAGAAAACCCCCAAAGCGCTCCA